TTGTGGCCCGCCTTCGAGTGTCAGAGAATCGGATCAATGAGTAAAACTAAGAAACAAAGTCTTCGCGAGTGGTATACCTTTCGAGAGAATCCTTTCGTTGAGAAGTGTTCTCTGGTTTTCGGGAAATCAATTCATCGATTAGAGAGAGTGGACAAGACATGGATCTGATGGACGGCTACCTCATTGAAGTGCTCGTTAGTGGTGTTGACAATGGCAGTGACCGCCAATTGGGTGATATCGCCGAACCAGAGGGCGATCTTCGCGTTGATTTGCGGCGAATACGCAAACGGACTCTTGTCGTGGATCACCTCTCCAGCGACCAATTGGCGCAAGTCTTGCACATCTCTGGCGGCGATATCTGACCACACCTTCAGCTGATGGCTCTCCACGACGTGTGGCGTCGAAGACACCGAATCCAGCGCTGACTTCTCAGCCGCAGACATACCACCGACTGTTTGATCCGCGAGTTTTGGCACTTAATGGCAACGATAACAAGAGGTATTGTCTGTGGATGTGATGTCACTTTTGCGACAATCAATGGCAATGAATGGCAAAACAATAACAAACAGATAATAACCACAGAAACGCCACAAAGTCTTATCAATTGATTCACTGTTTACTCAATAATATTGACTCAGATTTACACAAAAGTCTGACAAAAATGTCTTCAAATGTTTGGCAAAACTTATGCGAAAACTAATCGTTTCTTCGGTTTAATTGATTCCGAGATTGAGATACAAATGAAACCAAACGTTGGATTCAATGAGAAGACAATATTTCTTGAGATGTCTTAAGATTTTAAAAACTTTCCGATTTTTGCCGACTTTTGAGAGGCGTAAAGGGGTTACAGTGGGAGGGGTTTAGCACTACAGGGGGCACACAGGGGGCTTATCGCTCAACTCATAGATTGACCACAAAATGGTCATCACTTTCTGTAAAACCACTTCAAACTCATTGACAACCTGTTGTCTAATTTCTTCGCATGTCTTACCACTGATGGTAACGAAGACACCGAGGAATAGGTCCCAAATGTGGCGCCAAATGGTTCGCATTTAACGTGACGTTATTGATGGTGAGCTAAGGGGAGAGTGCAATGAATGGGCCATTGAATGGCATTTTATGAATGAATGGTTTGACTGAAAATACTGTAAATATTATCGTATATTACGTGAGAAATGGCCGACAAATGCATTCACGTCTACCTCGACATCAAAGTCGCCGACGAGTCAGGTATTGATAATCACTTAACCATTCACTGTCTTCGGCTGTCACTCAATGTCCACTATCGGCCACAAACTCATTGCTCGCTTGTCATCACTTCTGTGGCACTCATTTCCCAACGCTTTGTCTATTTTTGAGTCACATTTGTGGCAATTATTAACCATTTATTGTCTCATTTTTACGGTTCGCTAACTCGTCGCCCGATTGGATCCAATAGTCGGCCGAATAGTTATTCAACTCTTCAATAATGTGGTGCCGAAGACGTGCGAAAACTTCCGCGCCTTATGTACGGGTGAATTGGGTGTCGGCTCTCAAGGAAAGCCTCTTCACTACAAAGGATCCATTTTTCACAGAAGTATTCATCCATTCTTGTTACCATCGATTGTCACGAAACTAATGTCTGTTTGTCTTATGTCTCGCACGAAGTAATCCGCGATTTTATGATACAATGCGGAGACTTCACTAATTTTAACGGAACGGGAGGTCAGAGTATTTATGGCGAGAAGTTNGGTCAGAGTATTTATGGCGAGAAGTTTGATGACGAGAACTTTGACCTCAAGGTATGCACATCACCACCGCTTAAGACAATATCTGGAGCTACTGTTGACACACGTGTTTCCATCCACAGCACGACAAACCGGGTCTCTTAAGTATGGCCAACGCGGGGCCCAATACTAACGGCTCGCAGTTCTTCATCACAACCGTAGCCACACCTCATTTGGACGGAAAGCATGTGGTGTTCGGACAAGTGGTCAGAGGCATGGGTGTCATCAAACACTTGGAGGGCTTACCCACCGGTGCTAACGACGAGCCCATTGAAGTAATTATAGCGACAGTTGTCGACCACATAAGAGATGTGTTAAATGTATTGCTTTTTATGGTCTGAACAGAAGTGTGTTGTCTATGATTGCGGACAATTCAAAGACGGAGAGGAATGGAATCTCACTGAGAATGACGGCTCCGAAGATGTGTTCCCATCGTTTCCCGAGGATTCCGATCTGGACTTCACTTCGGTTTGTATTGATTTCCGATGAATGCGTTTGTTGTTTGAGTTAATGGTTGCGATTGTATTGATCCCACAGATCGACCACATCTTGCAAATCGGTGAACACATCAAAGGCTCCGGCAATTCATACTTCAAGAACGAAGACTTCGTGAACGCGAACCACAAATACAAGAAAGCGTTGCGTTATTTGAATAAATTACACGACAATGACCTCAACGACGACGTCACCAAACGGGTCGTCTCTCAAGAACTTCCGTGTCTTCTCAATAGGTATTCAACTGATTACTTAGCTTTTGATTGGTGTGTGAATGGCTTTGTGTGATCTCTGGCAGCGCCGCGTGTCTGCTGAGGCTGAAGAAGTACGACTCGGCGTTGGAAGTGCTGAACGAAGCGCTGGACATCGGACCCGATAATGCAAAAGCGTTGTACCGAAGGGGTCAGGCCTTTCACGGGCGACGCGAATACGACAAAAGTCTAGCCGATCTCCAGAGGGCGCAGTCGTTGGCACCGAACGACAAGTCGATTACATCGGAGTTGGCGGCCGTGAAGGGCGAGATCGAGGCCTACAAAGCGCGCGAGAGGAAGGCCTACGCGAAGATGTTCTCATAGATACGTAGCAATCCTTGTCTCATAAGTACCGGTAATTTGTATTATAGATGAGAGCAACACATTTGCAGCGAATTTGTAAATAACGGCAACAAAT